TTGGTATTCGGGTCAGTCTTTGAACATGTGCATATTACGCGGCCCTCCCCAAATAATTACTTAATGAGATATAGTTATATTTTTTTTATTTCACTTAATATATTGTTCCAGCACTTTATACAGATGTACACAACATATTCCTATTGTAATAAACAACTAAGTTATATTCATGAACATTCCTCAAACCTCATCATCATTCGTGTCCCAATTTCTAAAATTTAGCAGTTCATGCTCGAAAAGTTATAAATATACCCTAAAGATCGTATTTTTTTGTAGTAATTTAGATAGTACACGACATGCTTTACTAATTAGCAAAACTATACATATTAAAGAACACTTTTAAGTAATTTGTAATGACTTTGAAAATTGTCCCAACACTTTATACTCACTACCATTTGTTCACACAGTCGCAGGGTTAATTTTTTTCCAAGTACGTATTACTATCCCGAAGGATAACTCGGTGGTCGTGCTCAGTACTCAGTTACGCGTCACAATTCGTGCGGGTCACACGTCAAAGAGTGTTTTGGCGCCAACTGTAGCCTAATTTAATCGCTCAGAAAACGTGTTTGGCAAATAAAAATCTCCTTACCGGCCGAGTTTCCCGTGGTAAATCTGTTATTCTTATTTATCATTTTTATGCACTGTAATAGTCGCCATAGGATACTCATTGCTTTGATTAAGTTCTCGAATTATTAAGTTTTATAAAGAACGTATAATGTGAGAAAGAGTACAGATATCTAATTACCGTTTATAAAATTACCATTTTTACCGTTCGTATTTTGGCGAACGGTGATGAGAAGTTAAAAATGGTAATTAGTACCAGTATAAACTGGCCTCTTATTATATTGAAATTCCTTACTCCGCTAGGCCATCCCAAGGTCTGATTATTATTTATCGATTGTTGATCGTTAGGTGTGAATTGACACTTCCGCAATATCTCGATACTGGCTACCCACTTACCACTAACTTATTTTTTTTTTTTAGATTAAACATGCCTCGTAAAAAACAGCAATTGAAGAAGGAAACACTGGCTAAAGCCAGAATCGCACGCCGGAATCGATACGCTAAAATCAAAGCTGACCCTATTTTATACGCCTTTGAAAAAGAAAAAGAACGACAATGATACGGAAAACGAAGAGAACAGAAAAAACTTTTATCAGTTGAAGAAATGACTCCAAGAACTAGAAGGGTACAGAGGAAAAAATGAAGAGAAAACTTTAGAAAACACTTTTAAAGAAAAAAATTAATAAAAGAAGGAATTAAACATATGAATGAAAATACACCAAGTTCCAGTGAGAGCGAAGATAATAGTAATAATAATAACAAGAGACCCAGAAGACTACACCCAATTTGTGAAAATGAGCCACAACCCTCTACATCTAATAATCTATATTGCTGAATGCACTTATGCAGATTCTGAGTCAGACACAATGAGTCCCTGGGAAGCTCTCCAACAGGAATGCGCGCCACAAATCCTAGACCGTATATTTACTGTCCGCGCCTAATTATTCCGATTTCCCGATACAAATGACAACGTGCTAACGTTAGCACCGCTTACAGACGACTCCACTTCACCTTTACGCTTTCTCAACCCCACCGCTCGAGCGACGTCAAAACCGGTATGGCACCGAGCGTCGCGCCCCCTAGACGCCGATTCCGACAACAGCGTTTGGCGCGAACACTAACATTTCTTGCCTAGCACGCGTCACAAAGATTGATGTACCCCATAAGCCTCGCTAGGCCTCTTTAGCTTACCAGGCGATTGGAGATGAGAAAATCATAAAGTAACTCACCTCTTTCATTGATGTTAGCGTACTTCCCTTTACTGTGTGGTGAGCACTAGCATCATAATCCACCACAAGTTCGGCGTTATGTTTTCGGGCGTACTCTGCCCCTCGCCCTAACTCGATGGCAGGATCTGAGTTCTCTCCGGGAAGATAGGCTGAGCAAATGATTGCTCTGGCTCTTGTGCATCCTTTGAAGTTTATGAAGGCTGTTACCAGGTCGTCGTAGCAGTACTCTGGAACAGCTAAAAGTTCAATGTTTTTAATGTAAATTATACAAGCTCTGGGTCTACTGCCTTTAGTACTGACTATAAGATCTTACCAGCAGCCGACAACTTGACCGTTAGCCATCCAAGCCTCTTGTATGAGGGTGAGGTTAATGTTGTGATCTACAAAGCAAACCTCCACCACAGCAGAAACAGCTGCTGAATGGTAATGATTTGCCTGGAGAAGCCTCATCCTTAGGATTAGTCATTTATGGGCACGGATGGGGGTGGGATGGCAGGAGTCGTTTTCACCCGCTCAGGACAAAGACGTCCTTTACTGGCGCTCTAGACTCACGCCACACCTTTCCCTTTGACATTCCCAACTCCCTTCCCCCGACCCCTACCTGACAACATCAGAGATGCAACAACGTGAGATCAGGGCCTTGGATCTTAGTCACTTTCACTGAAACGTCCCAGGCTCACTCCGTGAAGTGGAGGGCTGTGGAGGGGATTGGAGTTGGGGCGGTTCAGGCTCCATTACCAAGGGCTTATATCTGGTTGGGTTTTTATTTACTTATGTATTTACTTTATTATTTGTATATATATTTTACTATATTTAATGTATATTTATAATTTTCATTTATATATTTATTCAGCCCATCCAGATGAGAATAATCTACAAATACCACGCAGTATAATAAAAGACAACGCCTTGCCAAGAGGTGCTAGCGCCATGACCGGACAAAATTGAGAATGCAATGGTCCGCTTGTGCATATTGTCTCGCCATGAAACGGCGCCGGGTTTGGGCGTCTCACGCTAATTGACGTTCATAAAATTAGTGATGGAAAATACGAAAACGCGCAAAGGGCTGCTGTCTGGAGGTCGCCAGGGCGCATCTGGAGCTGGGGCTGGATGCGACGAGGTGCTGCACGACCACCCAGCAGCACCTCGCATCCATCATCCCCACTAGATGGTTTGGTCCTCTCGTACTCAGGAAGCGGCACCCGTCGCTGGTAGAGTACCTCGCATGGTGTGGACAACTCAAATAAATGAGAACGCATTGCGGGCATACTTGAGGCCCAAAAGAAAAGTTGGAGGTTTTGCGTACCGGGCTTAGATACATCGCTTTTTTCTGAGCTGGAGCCATCTATTACCTTCACCGAACAAAACCTAGCAGAGCGTGTTCGATAGATCATGCGCTCAAAAACACTTGCTGATGCCGAACTCGAGCGGCTACGACGTAATGCTGTTTCCTCATCGGATAAAAATACTACGACAGGAGATGCGGCTCTACGAGTTTCAGAGCAATGCACACAAGTAGATGCCGCCGCCCGCCGTAGATCTCGTAGTTTTGGTTAACTTAGACGATGATGAAATAGTCGCTCAGGAATAAGAGCAAATGAGGAGCACATTGGAAGAGATGATTACGGAAACGCGCAGTACGCCTCTCGAAAATCGAACGGGACTTCCCCGCATACCCCTAAGCAAGCGGAATCAAGTTGTCGTGAGGCTCTTAACGTGCTGGTGAATTATTTGGAAACCACACCTATTTGGCGCCGCACTGGCTGTTTGCCGTATTGCTGCCGCCAAGGTTCCCACGGCTGGACGTGCTACTAGACAAAGCGCCATCTCAGCCTGGAAAAAAAGAATTGAGGATCGTATCGCAAAGGCCAGGGCCCTCATCGGCAGGTTGATATGCTTTAGATCAGGCAATAACAGGCCAAGGATTGTGCGCACAATCTGAATGGCGTTTCCTGAGACTAAAGTCATAATGTCCTAGTCGGATATAACGCATAACTACACGAGCAACGAACCGCTGCTTGGGGGAGGCGAATTCGGCGGTATACCGAGAGGTCGACACGACACTTCACGGCTACTGCCGTGAACTCAAGTTCTTATAGCGCCTAAACGAACAAAATAATTTGAGGTTTATATTTACATTGAAGCACTTATTTTGTCGGTTCCTGCAAAATAGCATCACTTCTGAATAACATTTCATCATGCACTTCAAACCATTATTTATAAAATAAAACAGGAGTAACAATCCGTCGACAGCCAAATTCCCGCCAAAACTCAAAAAGTCAGAAGTAATCTTTAGTTTTCTTTGGTTCATCACTGTCAACTTGTTTTTACTAAGATTTTTGGTTTGGATGGTTATTCTTTGAGCTATGTTTTTATTTTATCTCAGTATTAAGTGATAATAATCCTATAAAGTAGTCAGCTTCACAATATGATGATGCGTCATATTGCACATGCGCAGGCCTTGAGAGAATTTGACAGCAACTTGAGTCAAAAGACAGTTGGCGATATTATTTAAACACTTTGCTGCTCTCTATTTAATAGAATATACAGTACAGGAGCAGTAATCTGCCGCCCGTCAAGTTCCCGCCAAAACTCTCCATCACTGTCATCTTTCATAATTCACCACAGACAATTCACTCTCTATTTCGTGTCATCTGTCATCGATGGATATTAGTGTTCTGTGTCAATCACTGTAGGGATGGGCAAAGAAAAAAATATATCGATATATATCGCCTGATAAATATCCATATATCAGCATCATTTGCATGGTGCAAGGGTATGGTCGAAAATTTAACATCACTGACACTTGGACGACGAAAAAAAATCGACAACCATACAGGAATGCTTATGTAACTATCTTAATGGGCACAACATTTTAATATATCGAAATTGATTTGAATTCGATATTCTAAATTAAACATCGATATAACGCGATTAAAGATATAGATATTTTTATAAAAAAATATCGTTATTTCGATATTTTTTGCCCAAGCCTAGATTACTGTCGAGTGTCACGAGTGTCATTTTCAAGATAATTTTATTATGATTATATGATATATGATTTCAATATCCGAAACATACTTTGAAAGCTAGCATGACTGCATGACCCTGATAGTCGAAGTCGAAGGTCGAAGTGCGGTTTAAAATTCAAATCAGATAGTATTCAAGTGGCCAATAAAGCAAACGCCTATTTATAATTTATTTAACATGATTTCTGCCCCAGCTTTGTACGCTGCTTTGCCAATATCCGTATTGGTTGCAATAGGCTTTATACGTAAGTGGAGATCGCGAAATTGGGGAAAATGTGTAAGTAATACATGTTTGCGAGGCAAAACTTTCCTAATTACCGGTGCCAACAGTGGTATAGGGCTTGAAACTGCTAAAGCCCTGGTAAGGCGTAAAGCTAGAGTGATTTTTGCTTGTCGGGATATTACAAAAGCAAAAGAAGCAATAAACGCTATCAGAAAAGAACAACCTTCGGGAGGAGAACTGGTGAGTTATATCTACCTTGTATTTTTGCTTAATTTTTGATGGTTTAATAGTAGTTAATATTAGTAATGTTAATAACTTTCCTAGTATTTTTTAAAAATACAGTGTTTCCTATTATTAAATTTATTGAATAAATATAATTATGTAACCGTATTGAATAAAATTATCATATCCAATCCATTTATAACACATATACATTTGACGGCTCCGTGGCACAGTGGCTTAGCAATGAGTTGCTCTGCTGGGGGCCGCGGGTTCGAATCCCGCACGGAACAAGTATTTGTATGGCGTATAAATAACTGTTCCTGGTCTGGACGTTTGTCCTTGTGCAATTTATGTTTGTAAACTGCCTTGACGAAACAGAAGAAAATCCTAGAGTGGGGGTAGTTTTTTTAAAAAAAAAAATTATAACAATCCATGATTTCATAAATTCAGGCCATCTAGTATATATTTTATGTACCATCTTGATAGACAATAAATTATTACTCTTAAAATGAGTACCTATAGAATAAAGTAGTTGGCACTATCACAAAGCAATTTTAATCAAAAGAAAATAATCTTTTGATTTATCACACTAAAATTTAATCTAAAAATTTGGATTGTAATTTTCATTTACTATACCTGTGGTTGAAAATTGTCTTATTATATATGTCTGTTACTGTGAAATATTTTTTTTTATATTTCACTTTTGAACGTTTTGCTTCTACCACATATACATACCGCATGCAGCTTACTTGATGGTAAGTGTTAATTGCTGCGCATTAACAACTGCAACATCGGAAGAATTAGATAAATCGCCGGTGGTAAACAATTCCACAAAGAAGTCATGCGAGGAAGAAAACTCTTAGTAAATCACACAGTAGTGGACTGCCAAGCATCCAGATGATGTGGATGGTAACATGAGTTTGTTGCAATATGCATTGGTGAAATTTGGTGACTGAAATTAATCTAAACAATTCCTGTAGTAAATGCAATATAAAATGCAAAGGGATGCAACATCTCTTTGCAGTGCCAGTGAATCGGGCCAAACAGAGAGAACTCGGTCACTGACAATTCAAGCTGCTCTGCACTGGATACGGTCAAGTGGCCGGAGCTGGCACGGGGGAGCACCTAGTCTAATCTATACCTTTTTGTTGTCATTTTGCAGATACCAATGCAATTGGATCTTGCTTCATTTGAATCAATTGAGAACTTTGTTGAAGTAATCAAAGCAGGTTTCCACAAGATTGATGTTCTAATTAATAATGCTGGGGTTGTAGTACCATTAAGTCAAGATGAAAAAACAAAAGAAGGTTTTGAAATACATTTTGGAGTTAATCACTTGGGGCATTTCTATTTAACCAATTTATTGTTAGACCATTTGAAAAGGGCTTCACCAAGTAGGTAAGTTAAAGTTATTGCAATATTTCATTATTAACTAACTTCCAAAAAGGAGAAGGTTCACAATTCAGTTGTAAACCAATTTGGTAACATTAAGATGTTACTAAATGGAAGCAATTTTGCTGATAAATTTTTTATAGGAAGAATACACCGTCACAATGATTTACATAAGGTTGGGGCTGTAATGGTATGAACTAGTGGTTGTTATGGGCTGCTGATCATGTGGTCCTCTGTTCAAGACCCTGGTCTGACCAAAATCAGATATTGAGTATTTCGGTCAAGAGATACTTAGTAACAGCCCAAAGTCAGGATGTTGGCGGAGTTTCATCTCACTCCCGTTGATTGAAAAGTATGTAAAGTCATTGGTCCTGCACCTGATCTCTCTTCGGTCTTGTCGAATTTCCATACCATCAGACTATAAGAGTAAGGGAATAGAGTGCACCTGTGCATGTGCACACATTCATGCACTATAACTCTGTCCTTCACAGATGACTAGTCTCCACTCTACGGGTTACAATGGGACTGGCCACCGTGATCAAAATTTGTTCTGAACTACATTTATTATTTTAGACGTGTGAATGGTGTTATGGGTAATTGATATTGGGTGTAAGTGTAGTGGAGTCTACCAGTCCACTATGCAGTTATATTCCTGCTGCATAACCCCCTAAACCCCCAATTATGAGAGAATGGTTAAGTTCAATAATAAGGACATGAATACTGTTGAGGTGGTCACTTCCAAGCAGTTACTAAAATAAATTTTGTAAATAGTTTGTACAATCTTTCATATATGTGTATAATTTACAAACAAAGTCCCACTGGATTTCTTGTTGGGTTTTCCCAGGACCGAGGCTTTTTCCATAACAGTGGTAAAAGTAAAAAATTACTTTCTTTAAGAATTACATGTAATCTATATTGAATAAAAAATTATTCTATTCTACTCTGTACTATCATGGATGATTTAAATTGCTTTTGTGACTGTTAAAATAAAATAAATATTCATTTTGATTTGTTTTCAGAATTGTTGTTGTTTCTTCAACACTTCATGAAAGGGCGAAACTCGACTTTAATGATTTGAACTTAAGAGCTGAAATTGAAAAAGCAAAACAAGGCAGAGTTAGTCAGCGTCACAATCTGGGTTACTGCAACTCAAAACTTATGAATGCATACTTTGTAAGGGCACTGGCTGACAGATTGCGAGACAGCGGAATAGATGTTCATGCATGCTGTCCAGGCTTTTGTTACACCAACCTATTTAGGTATTTATTTTAATTTTTCTTAATAATATCAGTGCAATAAAATATAATAAAGTTTTATAATAATTTATGAATTGACCATACTCTTTTAAGAATATGTTACATTGAAAATTCATATATAAAACAGGATTTTCCTTATAATATTACAAAAATGTACAGATGATCCCAAAAAACCTTTGGTATAAAAAGTAGTATATAAAAGAATAATAAATAATACCTTCTTCAAGATCATTTGAAATTATCATAGTAAGACGACACAATTTCCATTACTTTTTAATAGTAAGACAATAGCAACAACCTATATGTAGTGCACAGGACTGTGAATGGGTTAAGGTAACGTAAACGGCAAGTGGGACATTTACTTCACTTTTAATCAATTTTGCAATTACAGTGACATTTACTAGAGGTTATAATAATAATGTATTATATTGTGTATTTATTTTATTGGCTTAGTAGACTTGTAAAGTGATAAATAAACACAATATTCATCTGTGTTCCATTTACACCTGTAACCGTTACTGTTACAGCTTGTTAAAGTCCACTGCTGAACATAGACCTGCCACAGTTGCCATGCTTAGCAAGTTAATTAGCAATCACAGTTTTATATTTTTAGTCGTTATTAGGAAGGCACTGCTCTCCATCTCCCGATTTGTTTCCCTCGTCGCCTGTGGTTGTCGCCACAGGATGATATGATGGAGTGCCTTGTAGCTAGTTAATGATTGCTGATTCTCATGATTCACTATAAAATAGTCAGTGCATTATGATACAAAATATAAATAAAATGACCCATGACATTGAATCTATATCAACAATGTAACAACAATTTGAAATTTATGGCAATCAACATTGAATTTTTTGTTTTCAGGAACTCTGTAAGATGGTACCATTATATCTTAATGTTTCCAGTGGTATTATTGTTCATGAGGTCTGCTAAACAAGTAAGTGTATATAATATAATAATTGCTTTGTAGTAAACGGGGCTTGTGTCGTTCCTTAGTGGAGGCCTATATTCAGCAGTTGACTTGTGAAGGTTTGTAATGATGATGGTGATAGGGGGTAATAACACTGTATTTGTCTATGTAAAGACACTAGCCACTAACATATTTGACAATATACAGGCAACAATAATTCTGTGATACAAGCAATGTATACTTTTGGCGCAGTCAGCATTCTTACACCTCACATTCAATACAACCTGTAGTGATTTACCTTGTGCTTTGTTGATAGCAATAGCTTAGGTTACAACTGTAGGTTATTAAATTAGGATATATAAATGGTGTTTAGAAATTTTAGGAATCCAATAGAATTCTCTCAATCTCTGTTCTTCACACAGTTTAATCCTGTCTACTCCTCTCCACCATTCTGGGTCCATGTCAAATTCTTTCACAGTTACTTCCATTACCCTTTGGAACAAATTGCCTGTTGACCTACGAACAATACCTGTCAAAATTGTTTTTAAAATAAAACTATATGAGCATATCCGTAGCCTACGAAGTTGAATCAACTTACTTTATATGTTTATAGGTATTTATATATACATTTATATATGTATAAATGTGTGTATTTATTTATATATGTATATGAATTATATATATATTTCATATATTTATGTATGTGTTGCATGTATATAGAACTGAATTATATCATGACAACTTAACTGCCCAAACTCACTTTCTGTTCTACCCAAAGTTAGCTGGTAGAGAATGCCATATAGCATTAAGCTCGCCTTTTGTACAAATATTTGGTGCAATAAAGAATAAATAAATAAATAGGTAGAAGATGACCTTTCATCTCTTATTCATGTCATATTTTTAGTAATAGTACCAGAGACATCTGGTACTGCGTGTGCCAGTTAGCCTGCGCTATAAATCCTATTATTAATAGGGCAGATAAGAAGAGAGAAGTGGGATTTTTGCCCTTTCTTGCCCCTGTCAAAAAAGTGGCACCTATTACAAACCTCAATGCATTTAAATTATGCATAAGCATGATCAAAACAACTCATTTTAGTCCAACCTTATATTGCTTTGCTCACTTACGACTTGCTCCGACTTATGACTGCAAAAGTAAATTATTTAAATGCATTCCGGCTATGTCCCACTGCTGGCCACAAGCCACTCATTTCTGTTCCGTAAAACATTTTATTTCTTAGACTTGATGTTTGAGTTGTTTTCTCCTAATGTTTGTATCTACTAAAGTAGGCGAAGTGTAGGGTGGCCGCTCATTAGATGGAATGGCGACCTGGTAAGACATGCAGGAAGTCGATGGATGCAGGTGGCTCAGGACCGTGCTTTGGCGCATTCCTAGGGGAAGGCCAATGTTCAGCAGTGGACTTGTGAAGGGTTGTAATGTTGATGATGATGATGAACCGCTTTTCGAACAGAGTGGTTGGTTGTCATTTATATTACTTTGTAGATTTGGCTAAACACTTGTTATCGCTTGCAATCTTGGTTACGTTATGAGGAGCCACACATGAATAAAGCGCGAGATTATGATTTATGGTCACATATTGCTCTTCTAATTTCTAGAAATAAAGTTACAAAATTAGGAAGTAATCGCTCAATGACAAGAATTGTTTTACGCATAGACATTTTGCTGTTATGCAAATGTTAGTAAAGTCATGTATTTATGTTGCATTTCAGTTCCTTTCATATACTTTTAGTACTACTGCCAAATAAATGGAAAAGCAAACAGGTTTATACGTGGTAGAGCCATGCTGCAGCTATATTAGTAGTATAGTTATAGCACGAATGGGTTGGCTCGACTGGGGAAAGACCACGCTCCCACAGAATACCAGCGTAAAATGGCAGCTTGACACTGCTGTGTTTCGTATGGTGAGTGTAAAGAACCGGAGACCCATTTTACTGGAAAAAATGCATTCCTCAATTCAAAATGCCTCATTCCATCTTAGTCCTCACGGGTGACGACACAATTGGATTTTGATTCTGTATTGAGGATAGATGTAGATCTCTATGGGTCACAGCAACCACTTACCATCACGTGGACTCTCGTTCTTCACCTTATCCTATAAAGATAAAAATAGACTTTATATCATCTTAAAATTTGACAAGACATGTCAAATTTATTTAGATAGCGATTATCTCTTTGCAAGTCTCAATGTCACTTACTTATCAGTTTGCTGTTTATATTTTCTAATAATATGATATATATATATTAATTTTGAAATAAAAAAATCATATTATAAGCAGTTATGTAACTAGCAATGATTCCCACAAACATCACGGGAAAACCTGCAATTTCTGAGAAGTTTAAACAAAATATTTCAATAACATGGGAATGGGAAGTCCGCCAATGAATATTGTAGCTGCATATTGTATTTAGGGTTCCGAAGCTGTCCGTCCGTTCGTCCAACCGTCCGTCAGTCCGTCTGTCCGTCAGCGAACAGTTTCATGATCCGTAATAGATAGACAGTTGAAATTTTGACAGAATGTGTATTTCTTTAGCCGCTATAACAACAAATGATAAAAATAACTAGAAACGTGTTTTACGATGGTACGGAACCCTTCATGCACGAGTGCGACTCGCATTTGGCCGGTTTATTCTATACTTTCTTTCTTTTTCCAAAAACCCTTTTAAAAAAAGATGAACTTATTATTTGTAAGTATGAAGGCCTTTATTATATTTTAATTAACTTATTCCCATGTCTCTACATTTTCAGGGTTCTGAAACGGTAGTTTACTGTGCATCCGACTACAGCATCGAGGGTCGTTCTGGCAAGTTTTATCGGGACTGTGCCGAGTACAATTCCAAATATCCGTTTAATAAAGAAGAAGAAATTAAACTGTGGAACATCAGCGAGGAGCTTATAAAAGCTAGGAAACCACTTTGAACAATGACATAATCAAATCGGGCTTATTTCTTTGTGAATAATGGTGTTACTGTCTTTATAAACGGTTAAGGCATAAATATTAAATTGTTAGTAGGTAGTAGTTATCTGTATAAACATTTATTTATTATATATTAATTTGTTAAATCGTGCTTTTTCAAATATGAAGCAAAATTGCGGTGTTCTTTGAAAAATCGTACTTATTTATGATATTTTTTCCGTTATGTACAGCCAGGATCTGATTATTTTTAACTGGTCTAAAAATGAATACATATATTGATGCAATGTCGCAAGTTGTAGGGCTGTAGGGACACATCATTCATTCATACACTGCTTATTCTTTTGTGTTCACTTTGTCTCATCATCTCGAGGGTATAATAGCTGAAAATCAGTGTTTTCTGTTTGAGCACTATATGCGCTGAGCTGAGAACCATTTGCTAAAAATTTTAGATTCTAATATAACAGTTTTTACTGATGTAGTTGTATCTACCCAGTTTAGTCATTGAATGTACATGTGCGATTGGAGAAACAAACAAATTATTTATTTATCCATTTACATATTTAAAAAAAGCTGTTGTAACTTTCCTAATAACATAGACCTAAAATTATTTTATTTTTTCTCAGCATTATTTTAAAAGAGACATCCATATATAACTTTTTTTTAAGGGAACAAATTATTGTTGTATACAATATACAAAACTCTTCAGACATAATACTGTTAATAAAAACTGGTTCAATATTCTGTACTTTGAAACGCATCTGTTTCAAAGTACAAATTATTGCCTAACACTGCTGTGTTTCGTATAGTGAGTGTAGAGAACCGGAGATCCTTTTTACTGGAAACGAGGCATTCCATCTTAGTCCTCACGGGTGACAACGCATCTCCACACACAACACAACACCCACTTACCATCAGATCGACTGTGTGCTCGTTTGTCACCCTATCTCTATCCTATAAAAAAATAACATGCTAAAGAGAGAGTATAAGCTAATTAGACCAATATATTCCAGGGCTTGATAACATTGCCAAATAACAATTAAAAAGTAATGTTAATTAACATAACTTTGTTGCCGTAAAAATAAAAAAATGTTCTCAATGTTACTTATATTTATCGTTAGCACGTGGACTGATCAAACCGTGTAGTGACGGTGTAAAAATATCCACTACTACATATCGTACTACGTATCGTGACGTAGAGGCCAAAAAGAAAACAAACCAAATATCTTCTTAATAACATCAAAAAAAAATAAAAAACTGCGGTTGCCAACCAGCTTGCTATGGCAAATATTATATCCCTTATAGGGGGAGGCCTATGTTTACCCGTAGACTTTTGATAGGCATTAATGATAATGATGGTTAACGTTACGACGTTGACTGATTAACGGTAAATAATTTAAGGTTACATGTGGTTAACACTACCTTTGTTTGGTATTGGCAATGTTACCAACAACTTATATTTAAAGAACTGTTGTATTCTGTTAAGTTCAATCTGTTATAACACTCTGTGAAATGGTTCAAATAAAGAACAAATTAAAGTCATGATTATTTTTAGATCATTAATTTAGTAACTAAAGATTTCACAATTTTGTTGGTTATATATATATATATTACTTTGTAAAACAATTTGTTTGTGAATAATGTAGTATAGTACAGTACAGTTCATTCCAAAGACCTCGAATAATAATTATTTCAACTATTATAATATATTTTATATTTAATAAATGTATATGGGAAGATTCATAATTATTGTTGTATTATTTTATTTTCATGTTTTTTTTAATGAAACTGAATTTTGTACGTAATAGATCCACGTTGCGACTCTGTAGCACAAATAGGCGCCTTGACCAGGCAAGGACCATGCTCTCACAAAGTACCAGCGTAAAAAAGTAGCTTAATGCTGCTGTTTCGTATGGTGAGTATAGAGAACCAAAGGCCCTTATTACTGGAAATGAAGCATTCTATCTTAGTAGTCAGGGATGACAGCGAATTTGCATTTTGATTCTTATTTGAAGATCGATGAAGGTATCTATGGGCCACAGCCATGAAGCTAATACAAAGGGGAGACGGCATAAGCAACTGTGCACTGTGATTCTAAGTAGGTCCTGACGTCATCATAGTGGGCGTGGCTTTAGTTAGTATACTGTCAGCATTCGTCCTGTGCGCTTATGTGTTGAAAAAATCGCAAATCGGTGTATTTTCGTAGTATTAAGAAGAAAAGGATGAAGTGTTGTGTTTTATTGTGTAAAAACTACTCAGATAGATGCTCTGATGTTATGGATGGCATCACATTTCATTTGTAAATATTTTTACACCTAATTTATGAAATTGTTCTAGAAAAATCTCTTTGCGTCGGCTTTCAAATATAATTAAATATATTCGACACTAGATGGCGACACTTTGTGTCATGTGAACTAAAAATGTAAAGGTAGAGCTCAGTATTGGTAAAATAATCATACGAAGGTGCTGAAATTTGTTTTGCATTCAGACATAAAGAAATTTTAATCCCAAAATATCATTTTTATAGTTTATAATTATTTTGAGAACAGGCCGTATTCTCGTCAAGTAAACCTCATAAAAATGACAAAAAGACAGGGCCCTAATTAGAATTCAATTATTTTTCCCAGTAATCCAACTTTTAATATTAAATGCAGGAAATTGTACTTAGGCTGATTTTTACGAAATGTTTAAGTTATATTTAAGTGCCATTCTATATGCAAAGAATCACTTAAATACAATTTAATGTTCTTAGATTGCATTCAAAAAGTGCATTCGGATGCCTAGTTTGGAATAAAATATTTATATTTTAATTGATTTGTAAATAAAATTATATTATATATAATAATTTGTCTATTATTTGTTCTCCCTCAGAGATATTAAGTAGTATAACCCACACATAAATAATAATCCAGCCGTTGCTGCGTGAAAAAATTACACATACTTAGTGTGGAATAAGCTCAAGGAGACAGAAAGAGCGCACAAAATTTCGCCTTTATAATATTAGTGAGATAAGTAGGATATTTAGTTCCAAATTAAATATCCTACTTAATATTGAACATAGAATATTTAGTTTCACAGAGACTTTATTTTATGGATAAAATAAATATTTCTTGGTTGACTTTCACGAAATGATAAACATATTTAAATTGTATTTAAGTGATTCTTTTCATATAGAATGTCACTTAAATATAACTTAAATATTTCGTAAAAATCAGCCATGTACAATTTCCTTCATTTTAATATTGAATGTTGGGTTACTGGGTAAAATAATTGAATTCTAATTGCGGCCCTGTCTTTTTGTTATTTTTTATGAGGTTTACTTGACGATAGATGGCGGCCTGTTCCCAAGATTATTATGAAAACTATGAAAATATTATTTTGGCGATTAAAATTTCTTTGTCTGAATGTATTTGCTTCATAAGATAGACGCTCCGATGCTATGGATGGCATCACATTTCATTTATAAGTAATTTTACACCTAATTTATTAAAATAGTTCTAGAAAAATCTCTTTGTGTCGGCTTTCAAATATAATTAAATATATTCCACACTAGATGGCGACACTTTGTGTCCTGTGAACTAAAAATATTAAGGTACGTAGAGCTCAGTAATGATAAAATAATCATACGGAGGTGCTGAAATTTCTTTGCATTCAGACATAAAGAAATTTTAATCGCCAAAGTGTTATTTTTAAAGTTTATAACATTTTGTGGACATGCCGCCATCTACCGTCAAGGTAGTTAAGCTACATTGCAACATCGATATGGAAAGATTTGAGTAGTTTTACTATTTATCGGTAGATGTAGATAATGTAGTGGGCGGGGCTTTGCATCCCCTCACCCCGCAAATTGTCACGCGTTGTTACATAGTGAAATTTAATTACAACGTTTCCTCTTTGTATTTGCTTCATGGCCACAGCATCCAATTACCATCAGGTGGGCTATGTGCTTGTTTTTCATCTCATATTCTATGCTTTTAAATACATAACGATATTCCTTTTTTTTTAATAAAAACGCGATTTCATACGCAATCTTTTGTTGGCGAAATATACACTCTCATCACCTACAAAAATTCCAACTTATTTACGTCAGCTAGACACATTTAATAGAAAATCGTAGCTTCGTATCTAGTTGGTCTACAGTAAGTAATGGGCTCATTAAAATCAATCGTCAGCTCAGCTATTGCTAATTGATATCAGCAGGGGCGGATCTACTTAAAGGCTTTTTGGGCTGCAGCCCAGGGCCCCGTGAATACAGAGGGGCCCCAACCGAACTGAAACCAATAGACGATATTGTCAATAATAAAAATTATCTAGAATTTAAAAAAATCCGATCATAAGGTTGGCAACACTACGATCAATCAACCCGTGTGCGCATCTATCAAACGGAACGGGGAATTCCCTGTCGCTTGTTTTCGATCGCTGTATTCCGTGTATTGTCTATTACTGGGGTCTTCCCTCCGCTTATCGCCCGACGCAATTTTGTTATTTTTCCGCACTTCTGCTATCGTCGACTAAGTATATTAACGAATTGACTTTGTTATTGTTAGAAGTGTGTTTACTGTTTAGTGCGTGTGTTTAGTTTACTAAGTGATAGATAACTTAAAAGTTATAAGGACCGGACTTTTCTTTTAATTTACTAAAATTGAAAGTGTTCAGCATAACTAGACTTCCTGCTTTTAATAGGCAGTAGGTAAGTAAAAAGAATTATAAAACATGACTTTTTTATTTTTATTTCAGTTTCAAAACTAAATGAATCGAACTCGTTCGATATTACGAACGAACGAACGGTTTCGTGGCAGTTTTAGATACATGGCCACTAAATGTTGGAACAATATACCACCACCTATACGGGAAACTAAATCTGTAAACGGTTTTAAAGCTAAATTAAAAATACACCTTTTAGCATCTCAAAAGTCATTATTTCACGTGTAGTGGCAGGTTATTTCATAGATACATAGATACATCATATATATGGATATATGTGTATGTTTAATTTTAATATAATTTACAATACTTTTATGTATATACTTGGAAATATTTACTTTCAGTGAATGGTAAATTCATTATTTTTCGTTTATGTTGTTACCGATATAGTCGCGGGCGCAATACGGAATCAATATTTATCAGGGCTCCGCTGAAAATCAGCGCTGCTGCAGTATCTGTGGTAGCATATGCTGAGACGGAATCCTTTTGGCATCACATCACTCACTCTTGTTGCGATTTATTTTATTTTTATTTATGTTTTTCAACTACTTTGTATGTTTTTATGTCTCATTATTTCTAAATGTATATTTTGTGTGTGTATTGATGCTAATAAACATATGTCTATGTCTATGTCTATGTCTATATTTAATGATAATTTGGGAATTGCTACACTCATTACAAAGTAGGTATTAAAATTAAAAGTTCTATCCAGTTCTTTGTTTATTTTCAGAAAAATATCTTATTTTACAGTATGTCTGCTAGAAAATATAAAAGTGGAGCTGAAAAAAGAAAATTACAGTTTTGTCGAGAAAAAGAAATAAATAAATACGCAAAACTTGAAACTTTTTTTTAAATCAGAACATATAAACGCGAATGAAATAGCTATAAATCCATTAAAAAACGTAAAGGAAGGTATTTTATGCGAAGAGAGTATAACCGAAGGAAGCAAAAAACCGCAAAACCAGAAAAAAAATACCAACGATGAAAATATACAATATCTTGACTTCGAGCAACCCTCTGGTTCCTCTGAAAACGAAATTGGTGTTCAGCAAAAGAAAGGTAATACCGATACCGAGGTGGAAAGAAATTTAGAAAATATTAAGTTTGAGTTTGAGAAATATGTTGACGTGGGCTTGTGGCCAGATTTGCTAAATAATGATTTTATTAATTTCGTCCTCTCACATGAAATGACTGACTTTCAAAATAAAGATCCGAAGAATATATATTCAGCTTCTATGAAGAAATATAAAGAACAAAACAGATCTTTTTCAAATAGGTATTTCACTAGAAAAATGAAAAATGGCCAATTACTGGAAAGATCTTGGTTATGTTATTCAAAAAGGGTTGGTACTGTTTTTTGTTTGACTTGCAAACTTTTTTCTAAAACTCCTTCTCAATACACAACCGGATTTTCTGATTGGAAACACATAAGATTTTGTTTAGAAAATCACGAAAATTCTAATGAACATAAAAACTCAATGTTAGTGTGGTTGACACGAAAAGAAAATAAGTCTGTTTTAGACAAGCAGCTTCAGGAGCAATTAAATAAAGAAACAGAATATTATCACAATGTACTAAAACGGGTTATTGCAGTGCTAAAGTTTTTGTGTATAAGAGGCTTAGCACTTAGAGGTTCCGAGGAAGTATTTGGTTCTCCACATAATGGTAATTTTATGGGTGCTCTAGAGCTATTGGCAGAATTCGACCCATTCATACGTGAACATATTGAACAACGAGAGCTGCGACCAAACCCTGTAATATCATATTTATCAAAAACAGTATATGAGGAAATAATTGAGATTATGGGTAAACAGATAATTAAACAAATTATAACTGAAATAAACAACGACGACACAAAGTATTATTCAATTATGATGGATTCAACCCCAGATCTGTCTCACGATGACCAACTTGCTATTGTATTACGATACTGTTTTCGGGGAAAAGTGTATGAAAGATGTGTGTCTTTCATTAAAATTAGTAGTCATACTGGCTTATATTTATTTAATATTCTAGAAGCCTTTTTGGAAACAAATGGACTACTACTGGATAATTGCAGGGGACAGTCATATGACAACGCTGCTAATATGGCCGGAATCTACAATGGTGTACAAGCACTACTAAAAGAAAAAAATAAATCCGCGGATTACGTGCCATGTGCTGCGCATTCCCTTAACCTAGTTGGTCAAGAATCCGTGAAGGTTGCAACCGAAATTGTAAATTTTTTTGGAATAGTGCAAAAAATATACGTTTTCTTCTCTGCTTCGACCCATAGGTGGGAACTATTAAATCGTGAAACAAAAGTAAAATTTACATTAAAAAGTTTAAGCCAGACCAGATGATCTTGTCACTTTGATGCTGTCATAGCTTTGAAAAGCAATTATGATGGCATTATGAAAATTCTCAATAGTTTCGGCGAAAATAACGATGAAAAGGTTGATTTCCGAAAAGAGGCACGAAATTTATTTAATAAACTGGCGAAACTAGAAACTGCAATTTTAATTATTTTTTGGGAAGAAATTTTGGAGAGATTAAATGTAGTTAATAAAAAAGTACAGAGCCCTGGTTTAGACATTGGTGAAGGCAATAAGTTAATTGTGTCATTAAAAGAGTTCGTGAAAAACATAAGGCAACAATCAGATCAGAAGCTAAAGGAATACGAAAAGAAAGCTAAAAAATTAAGTACTAGTGTGGAAACAGACTACAGTGACATAAATAAGAGACGCATTACTTCAAAATTTTCAGATAAATCTACAGATAAAGTCTCAGTAAACGGCGCAGAAAAATTTAAAAGAGACACGCTTAACGTTGCGTTGGATAAGATGATTATGGATTTAAATTATAGAAGCCAAGCCTATGAGACCTACAGCAAAAAATTTAAATTTTTAATGGATTTGCAAGATAGAAATCAAGAACACATAGATCTGGAAAGTGTACGTAATATTATTGATTATTATCCAAATGACATAGACGAACATTTAGTGAATGAGTGCATTCAGTTAAAATCTTACTTACTGCAGTCTAAGACAGAGTCTTACACCTCTTGCAGTGAAATTTTTTGGCTAATTTATGAAAAGAAACTTGTTGATGTTTTCCTAAACTGCTATACCATCTTAAAGATTTTTTTAACGATGCCGATCACTAGCTGTGAAGCGGAGCGTTCTTTCTCCAGGATGTCGTATATAGAAAACAAATACAGGACAACAATGTCGAACTATCGACTAAATCATTTATCAGTTCTTTCAATAAATTGCGATTTAACAAAGGACCTACAGTGCGATGACCAAATAAAAGAATTTGCAGCACAAAAATGCAGAAAGGTTGCTTTATAATTTATATAACATAACCATCTATAACCTGTCAATTTATTTTGCAATAAATAATGTTTTAATAAATAAATAAAATATTTTGTTTTCCTATTTTCTTCCTGTACTTAACATATATTACATTACATATACCTACATCACTTCAGAAAACAGTTTCTTGTCAAAATGGCAATTAGTTGAGTAATTAGGTAGGGCCCCTAAGCAGTATTAGCCCAGGGCCCCACAAATTCAAGATCCGCCCCTGGATATCAGGTGGATTCTGTTTATACAGATTTCTCCAAGACGTTTGATAAGGTCAATCGCGAGTTACTGTGTGCGAAATTAGAGGTCTATGGTATCCACGGTAATTTACTTCGTTAGGTCAGATCGTATATATTCAGGAGGAGCCAGATTGTTGCGTTCAAAGGTTATAAACCCTGCTTCCGCAAATGTTACGTCTGGTATTTCCCAAGGATCATATTTAGGGCCGTTTTTCATCATTTTTATAAATGATTTGGTTAACGTCGGTCACTGCCTACTTTAAGTTTCGGCCAAACTGAGGCGAATTCCGCGCGGGAGGCGGGACGCGAATCTGCGATTCGTTCGCTCGCTTAGCCTCCCAAACTGAGGCGATCCTGCACGTCATTAGTTTTGGTTTCTCAATAGGAAAACATGTCTTGATATTGAAGCTGAGGTTTTGTTTTTATTAGCATTAACTGAAGAAGGATCTCAATGATGATGTGAGGAAGAAAAGAAAATCGATTAATGAGCTAAGTACTCAACGCATAGAATTTGGAGAGTTTCACACTTTGATACCCACATTATGTAAAGATAAAAAAAGATTTTATATATATTTTCCTATGCCGGAAGAATGCTCTAACGAAGTTTTATCAAAAATTGAACAAAATATACGGAAACATATTTGATAAAACTTCCCATACCCTCTTTTTTTTTCCTATTTTTATAGTCTTCGTGGCTGAGGTCGTATAGAATCTTGTTTTCTTTCACTTTTTATAAAATAAATTTAAGGTTCAACGGTATTTCGAAAAATCAGGCACTATATCGCGTAAATTTCGCTGCAGCACGTGCGTATATTAAGCGCCAATGTGAACACAAAGTACTCTGTGGTGAACACCTCCATACAAGCAATCGGCGCGAGCGAATCGCGTCCCGCGTCCCGTACGGAATTCGCCTCAGTTTTCCGAAGCTCTATGTTGGCGATATAAAGATATATCGTGTGATAAGTGACGTGAATCACATATCAAAAAGATTTAGATGTAGTTCATGATTGGTGTTCTGCTAAATTTTGTTCTTAAATATCAATAAATGCTTACACATCACCTTCACTTACTAAACACAATCATCTAAATTTTAAGCCTAATATCAATAGTCAGCCTATGACACGCAAGGAGACAGTTAAGGATTTAGGCGTACAATTATATCGATTCGTTCCGTCCGCATTAGAATACCTATATTACACCAAAGTTTGAAAACCTTAAGGTTTATAATTCGTGTAACGAAAAAGTTCTCCAAGCATCTAGCATTATTCCGATTATTTTCTAACTTGATTTGTCCTGTACTAGATTATGCATCCACTGTATGGTCACCGTGTGTTTTTCGCAGTGTTTGTGGCAAATATTGTCAGCATATACGACTCTCGACTACAGTTTTTTGATATCCAACCGATTATCTTTGATGAGACGATTCCAAGTTATTGCAACAAGATTGTGCATTCTTATATTGATTTCCCAGAGTTAAAGGCTTATTACAGTACACGATTTATCGGGCCCTGTCCATCGTGTGCCCTGCCTACCAGACAGGGCGCTGCTTATTACACTACGCTAGAAATCGCTTCCTGCCTCAGTTGTTACTCGAACGTGGAAATGATTGCTCGTCTAGCATTATGGCGCAGACTTTAACTAAACGTCAAAAAATTGCTTTATTGTTTTTTTTTTACGTGGTAGAGCCATGCTACAGCTATATTAGTAGTATAGTTGTAGCACAAATGGGTCGGCTCGACCGGGGAAGGACGACGCTCTCACAGAATACCAGCGTAAAATAGCAGCTTAACACTGCTGTGTTTCGTATGGTGAGTGTAGAGAACCGGAGACCCTTTTTACTGGAAAAAAAGGCATTCCATCTTAGTCCTCACGGGTGACAACACATCTGCATTTTGATTCGCAAACGAGGATAGATGTAGATGTCTATGGGCCACAGCATCCACTAACCATCCGGTGGACTGTGTGCTCGTTTGTCACCCTATCCCACAGAACACTAATACCCTTAGGCGGGCCCTATCCTATTATATAAAAAAAACAATATATTCATTCATTTGACAACGTCAAATTTTAAAATAGTGTTTTCATCTATAGCGTAAAATGCACCCCCTAGTTTTTAGGGAAAGAAATGTAAATCCAAGATGGCGGCTGAAGTAGGTACCAATTTTTTCATCATAGGTGTCATTTTCATGGTTTTCTAGGGTGTTGAAGCCGATAGTGCTGTCGAAATGTATTTAAACTACTTTAAAATATTCCGTATAATCATGTTATACGTAATTTTTTTAATGCGCTTAAGGCATGCCAATTGGATTTACCAATTTTTATTTTATTTACTTGGCTACTGAATTGTTATTTACGTCCAGGTTTAAACTTTAATTTGAAATCTTGTATTATTAGCGCCGCTCCACACTGCATGAATATTGAAACCACAGACTCACTAGTAGATTGAAACCACACTAAATGTACGGATTGCAGTACAGTTCACTTGAACATAGTGTATATGTAATATGTTCGGAATGCGCAATCTAGTACGTAGTACATATATATCGATGCATGTAACTACCGTGTGTTTTTGTACCTTATTAAATAAAATAAATCGATAATCGTACAGGGGTATAACAAAAATACAAATTTATCATTCCCACATTTATTTCAATTGAAAAATATAAAGCATATCCAAAACAAAATATGTTTTATACATATATAATGTATCTAATAAACAACAACACATTGTTTATCGCCTATTGAGGTACCATTGAGAGATTTAATCATAACTCTGGTCCAATAAACAGGTCACTATAAGATCACAGCATAATTATACAATAGCAAGCTATACAAAGAAATATCCACCTACGAAAGTGCTATAGCTAATGTTAAAAGTTCACATATCTGAATAAATTGATAAATTAATCGACGCAAATTGAAGAATCACACACAGTGAATTTAAAATTAAGTCTATATACGTTTGATTATAGATACATATAAATAAACTCCACATAAATTAACTTTACAAAGGTAAATAAGCATTCTGTACAAGAAATTGTACGTGTATCGTACAGTTAAGCAGTAGTGCAGTTTAAGACCAGAATACAATTAGAAAAACTTACTTTTCATATAAATATACCGGCCACAGAAGTATTTTAATTCACCGTCGTGTAATGTGCTATCCGTACGCCGAACTATACCTTAATATACTTGATCCAACAACATTTTTTTTAACATAGTATTAGGCACGGATTAGAAGGCGTTCAAGTATTACGTAAGCAAATTTTCTATGATTTTAGACCCCTCCCCAAGTATAAAAAAATAAATAAAAATATTGCGAACTCCCCCTATGATAAGACCTAAGAATTTTTTCAAAACTTGTATTAAATATTAAAAATAAAATTTAAGACTCGATTATTTTTAAAATTAAAGCATTGTGTTTTAATAAATTTAGAATCGTTTATTGGGCCCCGCATACAAGTTTCTGCTGGTTTCAATAGGTAGCTCATCTTCACAATAATAAAAATAGCATTATTTAGATTAGAAATATTGTTTTAAATATATTTTTATTGTTTTATAATTTTTTTATATTACGTAATATTTTCAATATGGGGTATATTGTCTCCCATTGTCAGCAAAAGTAAGAAAAAAATTGAAGCCCCCGCCCCTAAGCCTGCTTACGTAATACTTGAACGCTCTCTTATTTCTGAACTTCACTTGCACAGCAAACTTGCACAGTTATAAGGTGACACGCGGAGATAGCGACATTAGCGC